AAAGATGGGAAAGTAAGACCATGCCCGTGAAATCATACAGAAAAAAGAAGTCTAGCTGTGTTTGGTCTCCTCTTGCTCAGCAACCATTTGTATTCTTACAATTATAGGTCCAAACTTTTACAATTTATCACAACCATCCACTTATTTTCACTTTTACGTCAAAAATGTGGATGAAGTGTTGATTTTACGAAAGAGATTGTCAAAATTAAAAAATTAGAGGGTCCAAACTTGATATCTTTACTCTTTTCTAGACGATAATGATTTCCCCTTGCTAAGAGGGCTATATTCTCTTCTAGACCCCTAATTATTCCCTATTCATAACCCCTATATTATGGTAAAATGATTACTTTAGTCCATCTTTTGTAGTTTCGTATCAGGATGAAAACGACGAACAAAAAGGAACGGTGGAGGAAATATTTACGATGATAAGAAAAAAAATATGAGTTTCTATTTTCAATATTTAAAATAAATTCTATTCTTTTTGAAGAATGATACATGCAATTTAGAATAAACATTTGTTCCCTCAATTATGATTTTAGACATAAGCATTCAATTTAAATCCTACAGAATTTAATTTGAGTCAATTTTATTAAGTTGTTTATTTTAAATTTGTATCAGATCAATATTTTTAATGGTAAAAGTATTTATCGAGGGTTATAAAAAAATAGAATGAGAAAATCATAATGCATTAACATAAAAAGTTTTTAATTATTTAATAATAAAGGTTTAAACATTCTGCATATGTAATATCGAAATTCAAAATCTTTAGATATAATAATTATTCTTTTAACTATTGATATAACTTTGTAGTATTACAATTAAAATGATTAATTAACGAGATGATTATATATAATTTTTTATTAAAAAAGTATAATCAGGAGTAGAGCTAGCTATCAAATCCAGCACCTACTTATTTGCAACCACTACTCACCAACTCGGTCGAAAACCTCGGCATATAAAAAAATATCAAAACAAAGAGGGCCCCGATTGAACTGCATTTGCAGGCACACCATCTCCTCAGTTTATATTCCTCCCCGCACTTCCCTTTTCCCATTCATCTCCATTTTCCCCATATATTCCTCATGGGTAGATCTCCTTGCTGCGAGAAAGAACACACCAACAAAGGTGCATGGACAAGGGAAGAAGACGAGCGCCTCATCAACTACATCAAACTTCATGGTGAAGGCTGTGTTGGAGATCTCTCCCCAAAGATGCTGGTCTGTTTGTTTTCCATAGTTAATCTGCAGTGAGGCGTTTCCAACTTGTTTTTTTAGGGTTAAAGTGTACTGATTTTTGCAGGTTTGCTTCGATGCGGGAAGAGTTGTAGGCTTAGATGGATAAACTACCTGAGGCCTGATCTCAAGAGAGGAAACTTCACTGAAGAAGAAAATGAACTCATCATCAATCTTCACAGCTTATTTGGCAACAAGTATGTTCTTTTCTCATCTTTTCTCCTTAATAATATGAATCACATTAAAATCTCAACCGGGTAGCCTTTTGTTTCTGTTTCAGATGGTCTTTGATTGCTGCAAGGTTGCCGGGAAGAACGGATAACGAGATCAAGAACTACTGGAACACTCACATAAAAAGAAAGCTGTACAGTCGAGGGATCGATCCTCAAACGCACCGTGCACTCGGTTCGGTTTCCAGCATGAACAAAACAAGTAACAACAACAGCAACAACTGCAGTAACAGCACTAGCAGCAGCAGCAGCAACGTTAATCGGTTCCAATTAGAAACGAAAGAGTCAGTGCCACTGGTGCCATTGATGCAAGTGCCTGCCAACATAGATAATGGAGGCGCGGATTCAGCTGAAGATTCAAACGGAAGCAGCGGTGGATTAAGTCGTGAAGAAGTTTTCCCACAAATCAATCTCGAACTCTCTATCGGCCTTCCGTTTCCCTTCCAGCAGTCTCGATTTTCATCGGTCAGTTAAATCAGTCGCAGCAGCAGCAGCGGGTTTCGCAGCGGTTTTTTCGATCGACGCCGCCCGATGTGTGCTTGTGTTACGGTTTAGGGTTCCGGAAAAGCCAAGCGTGTAGCTGCAGTGCCAGTGTCATCGCAACGCTGTAGCATGCAGCAGCTGAGGCAGAAATTACTTATGAGGATGTGTATATTACCAACAGGAATGCTTTATCAAGAGTTTTAAATGATTAACATAGCATTAAATTGCGATTGCCATCAAAGTTGTGATTATAGTATAATTTATTTTCTAAAATTAATTATAACCTTTTAAAAATAACTATGATTTTATATTACGATTTGTAGTGTGACTAACTTTAAAATCCGTTACAACATAACCGGTTGCGATTGTAATTTAATACTATAAAACAATACAATTGTATCAAAGCTATTATCAAACCATCTCGAATGCAATGCTTGCAAGTACACATACTCGGATTATCATCCTAATTCCTATCATCAACAAAAATAATAACTCGTAAACAATTATCACTATGCATAATTAAATAACAACCTTATATTTTTTTTCTGATAAAACAATCTTTTAATTAAATACCCGATATCAGTATCTTATAATAAGCTATCAATAGCCTACAACATGTGAACATTTTTAAGAGAGCCTAGAAGTTTCCCAACTTGCATTCATCAATCATCACACATTCTTCCATGCATTTCTTTTCAATTTATCTATGCTCATACTATATTATTCACAATGCGTTTTAATTTTCAAATAAAATATGTCTTAATCTCAATAAAAATTAAATAAAGAATAATATAGAGAGAGTAAGAGTTGACCCACAGGGAATAAAAAATTGCCGATGAATTGACTTGCTTCTGGACTAGACATGAACTGCAAAAGAAAATAAAAAAGGGAGTTTTGTATGATTGAAAAATAAAGAAAATAATATTGAAAGAAAGTAAACTTGAAATAAAATTCTAATTGTAAAAATCAGCCTCCGACTTTCGCTTTGCCTCAAATTCCGTCGATCATCGAAATAGATTTTAACCTCGGATTCATTCCGGTTACATTTTATAGGGCTCAATCCCTATAACTTGTTTTTCTCTAAATTGAACCAACAATCCAAAACAATCTTTGATTGTCAATCCTTATGTGGACTAATTGCAACAATAGTTATTAGCCCATTCGATTTTAAAGCTTTGGAAAAACCCGACTCAGATAGTGTCTCATTGAGAATCAAATTCGATCTCACTTCTCAATAGTAGATTGCCACTAAGTGTGTTCCCAGGAAGTCGAATGTGCTACAAGCCGATCCTTCCTCCCAACTATCAATCGAAAACATTATCAATCCAACGTGCACTTTTTGAAAAGAAAATGTTTTTGATTTTAAAAGGATGGTCGATTACCAATCATTGATTCCAGAAAACTAAGAATGTAACCCGAAGAGTATTACGCGCTTTTTAATTCTCACGATTGGAATTGAGTCATCGCTTCAGTCTTTGGCTATGAAAAACTTAGCTAAGTATGATATAAATCATACATCTCATTAAAAAGAAAAGTAAAATAAAAACTTGAAAGTAAAAACTAAAAAACTTTTATGAAAACAAGAGCAAAGAAAAACAAAAGAATTCGAGATTTGAATCATCATTTGAGGCTTACCCCAAGGGGTATTTTAGTCCTAAAAAACCCTAAAAACCCTAAGAGATAATTCCTAAAAATCACAAAAGATAATTCCTAATAAATTACAAAAGATAATTCCCATAATTGATTGAAATAAATCCCAAAAATAAAGATAAATAATACATTCATGTTTGGATTTGCGACTGAGTCTTCTGTCTTCACAAAAATACTGATTGGACCTTCAATAAGATGCTGACTCGTCACCATGTCAGCCAAGTCATGCCCATTGGTCCACCCATGATTCCAGAAAAATAAAAACTTGCAGAAATCGTCATTTTTAACATAGTTTCTGGAATCCAATATCCTGCACAGAAAATAGGAGAAAATGCTCAACTTAGCAACATAAACCAACAAATTAAGGAATAATTATCATTAAAATAATGACGAAATTTAGCATTCATCAATCATCATACTGTCATGATATATACTTTTATACCAATACATAACATAAATACACACATTAAATTGGTTACTAAAACCTTAATTAATACATGCCATTATTTCCAGGAGTTTAAGGACAAAGAAGATTGCCTTTATAGCTGCCTTCTTAGAGGTCAATTATATCCTAACCTCGTTAACAAAGCCTTTTCTAGCACCTCTTGTATCTCCCATCTATGTGCAATTATTATGGTTGAGTTTATCACGTTTTTTATACAATAATGTCCTGAATCTCTTGTCATGCAGGAGGCAGGCAAGATTTGCTTAAAGAGTGTGAGCTTTGTATCTACCATGTGATGCTCAAAGTGTTCCAATATCTTCAACGGGACAACAAGAATCTCTACAGCTCAGGTATTCATAGAAGAAATCTCATATATCTTGAATCCTTGTTTAACAAATATAATAATAGTGGCTCTATAATTCATCCCTTAAGTTAAGATGGATAGCATTTGGTAAAACTAACTGTAAACCTCAAGTGTTAGTAATGATGTGAATGTCTAAAGTAAACAATTTTTGGATTAAGATACATCCATAGCCATTTTTCAACGCTAAGAAAAAGACAGAATTTGTGGAAAGAAGACTGTATAATTATTATTTTTCAAAACAATTGTATACATGTAAGTTATACTCTATGTACAATTAGATTTCAACAGTTGAGGATGTTGAGAACAGTAACTCTAGCTTTAATCAACCTCCTGAACAAGCTTTCAAGACCTTCGTCAAGATCTTGGATGCACATCTCTGAGTTTTCCAGCTCATTTTGCACATTCTCAACATTCTTCATGCTCCCACATTTAATCGAGGAACGCAATGTAGCTTCCGCATCTGCAATTTCATCTGCTTTTTGTTCTTCTTCCTCGCAAGTTACTTTTCTCTGGTGCATTAACTTTGAAACTAGTGACCATGGGCTCGATTTTGATTCAGCCTCTGGTCCTGAAATAAAGGACAAAAAGGATTCGAGAACGCTGATGGTCACTGCTTCTACTTGTTTCAAGGTGCTAATCATGGCTCCGGTCTCACCATCTTTGCTAAGTTTATTCTCCATATGCTTCAAGTTCTTCAAGGCCTTGGAGATCGCCTTTCTCACTGCCTTCCTAGAGGTTATGTATTTCCTAACCTCATTAGTGAGCCCCTCGACTCCTCGTCTTCGGCACAAAACTGATTGAAGATCTTGTGTGCATTCCTTTGTTTGCGACAATGCATCCCTCGCTATCCCGCATACATCGAGGAGCATGAGCGATCCATCTAAAATTTGTTCAGCCAATTTCCTTTGCTGCTCTTGAGCTAGAGCTTGTTGAGAGAGGGGCAATTGAAGCAACATATCAACAGAGTCATACAAATCTTGAAGGCAGTTGAGTTGATGTTCTATCGATGATGATGTAGAGGCCGACTGAGATGCACTCAGTCGGTTCAGATTGTCATCGATTTGAGAAGTGAGGGGGTGTTGCCTTGAAGGCAAACTGTTTGAGCGAGCATGGAAAGAAGGCTGGACATTCAAAGGAGTGGTAGCCATTGTCTTTGTTTTAAAGAAGAAAGAAGGCTTTTCAATTGTGTTTCAACTCACTCTAGCTATTCGGTGTCTTCTCCCATTGCCATCTACTCAATATATATATCACAGGCTGAGGGGAGACGAGGAATCTCATCCTCTTTAAATATCAATAAGTAACGGGGAATTGATCTAGATCTACACGATTATCATGGAAACCTTCATGTTTTGTCTCCTCTCCACAATCAAAACAACTCATCACCCTTACCTAAAGTAATATGATACTAATACAATCATAATATAGTAATACACACGATGGTGCAAAGACAGTATGCAGGATTACGATGCTATTATTGAATTTGTTGTGCAGAAGGGAGGCAAGATCTGCTTGCTTGACTTGTATAATCTAACCTTTGCAGGAAAGCGTCTACTTGTCTGCATTTGTCTTTAATGATCCGAAGAAGATGGCAAATTTATTGAGGATTCAATTGTCTACTAACTGAAATACAGCTAAACAATTTTGTATAATGCAAGTCGTCAATAATCTGAATCAACAATGTTGAATGACAATTGGTTTTTGCCATGTAAAAGTTAACTGTTGGCATTTTATAATCGAAATAAGGCAAAGGCTAGAAATAAATATTTGCACGAGTGCAGGTGCTGCTTGGAAATTGGAATACAATATATTAAATTTTCTCTCTCCCTAAAAAAGGGAGTAAAAATTGCATATATAATTCATGTCTTTAGACTTGACAAAAGATGAGAAACTGTGTTTGCAACCAGATTCCTTCCTTTGCAACTTGTTTCATTTTTTACTTCTTAAACAAATTGCGAAAATGTTGATTACACTCTTGAACTTGATTTTGTTTAGCCAGCCATGAACTAACTCATTAAATCTTGTGATTAATGTAGAGATACTTTAACATTGTTGAATGTTAATGGCATGATTGGGTTTGTTTTACAGTTCTATCTAATGATTATTTGTGCTGATATGCTTGCTAGGGCATTGACAAATGTTTTGTAGGCCTTAGGTTAATAAGGATTAAGTTAGATGGACCGAAGTTAAGTAATCTGAGTGAGTGTTCGACAGTATGCCTTTACAAACTCTAGATATAGAGAGCATTATCTTATACGAGCTAGTGAGCTAGTGAGTGCTTGTCGATCTTAAAGCCTATAGACACACAATACCTTTGAGGGGAGTGAATTTAGGTTTTGCTAACAACAGAGGAAGACAACTTAAGTACCCAATCGGACAATAGGCTTGCCATAGTTTTTCCACGGCATTCTTCGTTAGTTAGAATAGATTCCTTAGTTAATCCCAGCTCCTTTGATCAACATTTGGACTTCACTAAAGCCATTTATATCTTTACTTAACTTTTATATATTCAATCTTTGTTTCTTGCACTCCAATTACCAGCATTTCATATTTTATTAATCTCACTTCACTTTACTTTAATTTCATATTTTATGTGTCTTTAATTTGCACTCATCCAATCCGTTTGGAGACAAACATGAAGAATCTCACCCTTTCAAGTTTTATTATCCATAGCCTCAATTATTTATGCAGTCATTATTGTTTGATGAATTTCATTAGCATGTACATGAAAATGTATGTGCAATTATTATGGTTTAGTAGTTTATCAAGTTTTTTAATATAATAATGCCCTGAATCTCTTGTCATGCAAGAGGCAGGCAAGATTTGCTTAAAGAGTGAGATTTATATCTACCATGTGATTGATGCTCAAAGTGTTCCAATATCTTCAACGGGACAACAGGAATCTCTACAGCTCAGGTATTCATAGAGGAGATCTCATAAATCTTGAATCCTTGTTCAACAAATATAATAATTGTGGCTCTATAATTCATCTCCTAAGTTACGATGGGTAGCCTTTGGTAAAACTAGTGTTAGTAATAATGTGGAAGTCAAAAGTAAACAATTTTTGGGATAAGATGCATCCATAGCCATTCTTGAAAGGTAAGAAAAAGCAGACTTTGTGGAAAGAAGACTGTATAATTATTATTTTTCAAAACAATTCTATGCACGTAAGTTATACTTTATGTACAATTAGATTTCAACAGTTGAGGATGTTGATAACAGTGACTCTAGCTTTGATCAACCTCCTGAACAAGCATTCGAGACCTTTATCGAGATCTTGGATGCACATCTCTGAGTTTTCCAGCTTCTTTTGCACATTCTCAACATGCTTCATGCTTCCACATTTAATCAAGGAACGCAACGTAGCTTTAGCATTTGCAATTTCGTTTGTTTTTTGTTCTTCCTCGCAAGTTACTTTTTTTCTGGTGCATTAACTTTGAAAATAGTGACCATGGGCTAGATTTCGATTCAGCCTCTGGCCCTGAAATAAAGGACAACAGGGATTCTAGAACGTTGATGGTCACTGCTTCTACTTGTTTTAAGGTGCTAATCACGGATCCAGTCTCACTATCTTTGCTAAGTTGATTCTCCATATGCTTCAAGTTCTTCAAGACCTTGCAGATTGACTTTCTCACTGCCTTGCTAGAGGTTAAGTTTTTGCTAACCTCATTAGCAAGCCCCTCGACTCCTCGTCTTCGGCGCAAAATCGGTTGAAGATCTTGTGTGCATTCCTTTGTTTGCGACAAGGCATCCCTAACGGCGCCACATACATTGAGGAGCATGAGAGATCCATCCAAAAGTTGTTCAAACAATTTCCTTTGTTGTTTTTGAGATAGACTTTGTTGAGCGAGGGGCAATTGAAGCAACATATTATTGGAGTGTGTAGAATGCTAATGTGTGCATTGAGTGAGCTTTCACTATAGCAAAACAGAGTTTTAGCGGCGTTTTTAGTCCTATAGCAGTGTTTTTAAGCGCCGCTAAAAGAATTTGCGGGATAGAAAAAATGCTGCAAGAAGCGCCTGCAATACCAGCGCCGCTAAAGTTAGCGATGTTTGAGAACAAAAAACGCCGCAATAGGTCAAGATCTATAGCGGCGTTTTTGCAACAAACGTCGCAAAAGGTCAGATCTTTAGCAACGTTTTTGGAACAAACGCCGCAAAAGGTTGAGATCTGTAACGACGTTTTTGAAACAAACACCGCAAAATGTCAACATATGTAGTGGCATTTTTGAAACAAACGTCGCAAAATGTTAACATCTATAGCGGCGTTTTTAGAACAAACACCGCAAAAGGTCATATAATTAACGGCGTTTTTTTATTCAAACGCCGCTAATTACCTTTCTTTAGCTAAGATGATTTTGCAAATTTTATTTCTGCTCTACATCACCAAAATTTAATAGCATCTAGCTTTATCTAATTAATAACCATACATTTTAATAGAAACACAAGTTATGCAGAAAAATACTTAACAACAAAATAAATTAAAATTTATAAACATTAAAATTAAATGTAATGTAGTTTGACATTGTTTTCTAGAATTTAGTCTACGTTCTTTCACTTTCAATTAAAAAAAATATTGTTCACTAGAATTTAGTCTTCATTGCTCTTTCGTGGGGGAAAAGAAGTAAAAAATCCCCTAGCTCCGGTTTACCAAGAAGACTCCTTGCGCGGACTTCTGCTTCAACCAAACGCAAACAAGAAGTCTGGAAGATACAAAAATATAAGAAATACTAATAAGAATCAACAGGAAACTTAATATAGAGAAAAAAAGGAAACATTTGGCATAGAATCAACCAGCAGAAACACTTGACTTAGTTATTAACACAATAATATAATGTGTAATAATAGTAATGCATAACAACATAAGAAACTAGATCTAACATGAACTGTATGTCAATATCCAAATAATGCACTGAGAGGTGCAAAACATATAATAACAGTGCATATTGAGTTAAAAAATTTGCAAAATGGAAAAAAGCAAGTAAAGGTCGTACGAATTCGAAGTCTCTGAGATCAGGGAAGTTCACAACTACAACAACCATTGCTGCTTCATTTATAGCCACTCGTGTCCATGTTTCTAGACTTCTGTCCTTATTATCTAGCATACCCCTTTCTTCGATATGTGCCACTTGGAGGAAATCATCAGTTGTAATCTGCAGCAATACAATAGCAGAAAGTCATATCTTCGCTAAAAGGCATTAGGTTAAGGGCATTTATACCTTCTAAACAACACTATCAAACACGATCCTAAAATTTCACATTCAAGAAGTAATAATATCTCAATTTCATTCATCTTATATATACTAACTAAAACCCTCTTAATTTTATAAAATATGTTTTTCTCCACATCTTTTGACATTTCATGGGCCAAGAGCATCGTCATGGGTGTTACATTACCTTTCTTGCTTGACAAAGTTCTCCTTAACCCAGATACCATATGGGCACACAAAAAGAAATAAAACAAGTGATAATGCAATGTTATTTTTATAATTCAAGTGGAAGATACAGAGATAAACATAATCCCTTTCAGTTTGCTTATAATAATTACTATTGCAGAGACTAAACACCCAATATTTATCACTTTATCCTCTATCGGATCTCCAAAGGCGGGGCTTAACATCCTTACAACATCAGATTGACTCCTAGAGTGTGAGGACCCTACCCATCAACCATCACTATGTTAAAATAGCAAGATAAATATAAACAACCAATAACACCACTAACTGACGTCTAATTCATGTATAAACATGTCCCACAAGAAACATGGAGTCAAAACCACTAGAACAAAACCAGTCAAAAAGGTGATCTGGTTTCTGTTTCATATCGAGATTCATACATCTATTGTACAAACAATCTATAAAAGAAAAATAATTAATGTTGCAAATGGAACTAATGTAATTGAGACATCTATTGTACATTGCGAATTTTTGAGATTTACAAAAAACAATATATAAGTTGAGCACGGTTTTAGGTGGGTCGAAAAGGATACCATTGTTGTGGAAGACGGCTATCGGATAGAGCAAAATCACAACTGATAATTTGAGAAAATAAAAATGAAGATAAAAAGAAACATAAAATTTACGTGGAAAACCCTTAAATAAAATTGGGTAAAAACCACGGGCAACGGTAGAAGAATTTCACTATGAGAAAATAGGAATTACAACTTCTCTCGATCTACCAATGAGAAAGCAATGATAATTATCTCTTGATAAAAAGGAGAAAAAAACTCTCAAGAAACTCTCTAAATTCTCTCTAGTATTGGAAGAAAGCTAGAAATGATTTGGGATGAATTTGAAGCTAAATGAGCTAGGGTATTTATAGTTGAAACTTAAGGACTAATTTATAAATACCCTAAATTACAATGACTAAAAATGATTTTACCATTTTCCAAATTTCAACCAATTCCAACTAATTTTCGGTGCCTACCGAAATTGCATGTGCAAAGCCACATGTTTCCACCGAAAACAATGTTGAAAGTTTGTTTTGCAATTAATGGCCTTGACTTTTCAACAATCTCCCACTTGAAGATTTGATTAGAACAATCATATCTTCAAACCATTCTTTCTACCTTGTACCTTCATTTTGCTTACATCTCTGACAGGCCATAGGAGGATCGACACCGAGTAAATTTATTAGTGTTGATCGCTTTCGTTATGAAATCTGCTATGTTGTCTTTGGTATGGATCTTCTGCATATCTACCGTATCTTCTTCCACCTTTTCACGAATGAAATGGTACTGAACTCGTATGTGCTTTTTCCTTGAATGAAATGCTGGATTCCTTGTTAGATGCAAGGCGCTTTGACTGTCACAAAACAGAGAGACATACTCTTGATTGTGCCAAAGCTCCTCCAATAACATCTTCAACCAAATTGCTTCTTTACTGGCTTGTGTAGCTGCTATATATTCTGCCTCTGTTGTGGATGTAGCCACAACTGACTGCAATTTTCAAACCCAGCTTACAGCTCCACCAGCAACTTTGAACACATATCATGTAGTAGATTTGCTTTTATCCAAATCCCTTGCATAGTCAGAATCTACATACCCATTGATTAATAAGTTTGATCCTCCATAACATAATGCAATATTTGAGGTCCTTTTGATGTATCTCAGGATCCTCTTTACTGTATTCCAATGTTCTTTTCCTGGATTCGCCATGTACCGACTAACCACTCCCACTGCTTGTACAATGTCTGGTCTTGTGCATATCATAGCGAACATTAAACTTCCCACTGCTGATGCATATGATACTCGAGACATCTCCATTCTCTCTTTTTCACTGCTAGGACTCATACTGGAGGATAATTTGAAGTTAATAGGAAGAGTGGTAGAAATTGGCTTACAATCTTGCATGTTGAATCGTGACAAGATCTTCTTCAAGTAATTCTTTTGTGAAAGCCAAATCTTCCTATTACTTCTGTCTTGGTGAATTTGCATCCCTAGAATCCTGTTTGCTGATCCCAAGTCATTCATTTCAAATTCCCTAGCCAGTTGTGCCTTCAATTCTTCAATATGATCTTTTTTGGGTCCTGCAACAACATGTCATCCACATACAACAACAATATAACAAAATCGTTATCACCAGACCTCTTGAAATAAGTACAAGGGTCTGCATTAAGTCTGTTGTATCCAAGGCACATAATGAAGGAATCAAATCTCTTATACCAACACCTCGGCTCCTGCTTTAGACCGTACAGAGATTTGTTTAACCTGCAAACCAAGTTCTTCTTTTCTTCTTCTTCAAAACCTTCAGGTTGGAGCATATAAATCTCTTCTTTAAGATTTCCATGAAGAAAAACTGTTTTAACATCTAGCTGCTCTAGATGTAAGTTTAATGTAGTACACATTGCCAAGACTACTCGAATTGTTGTTAGTCAAACCACAGGAGAAAAAGTTTCATTGAAATCAATACCTTCTTTTTTAGCATATCCTTTGACCACCAGTCTTGCACGATACCTCTCAACTTGATCGTCACCATTTCGCTTGATTTTGAAGACCCATTTGTTACCAATTGGCTTCCTTCCTTGTGGTAGTGGCACAAGGTCCCATGTATTATTTTTATGAATGGCTTCAATTTCTTCTTGCATCGCTATCATCCATAGTGAAGCATCTGAGCTGTTTATTACCTCCTTGTATGTTGATGGCTCACCGTCCTCTGTTAAAAGGCAGTATGCAATATTTCCTTCTATAAAATAATCTGAGTGCCAATTGGGACATCTTCTCACACTATCTGATTGACGAGTTGTTGGAGCTTCAGAACTCTTTGGTTCTTGTTCATCATGTGCTGGTTCTGCTTTAGAAAAATCTCCTTCTTCAACCTCCTTTTCCATATGTATCTGTGTAGTCTCTGACTTTTCAGTGCTATCATTGTCTTCTTTTCTCTGTAGTTTATCTTCTACAAAGATAACATCCCTGCTGATGGTCACTTTGCGGGCAGTGGGATCCCACAAGCGATACCCCTTGACTCCATCAGCATACCCCAAGAATTTGCATTTTCTGGATTTTGGATCCAGCTTTGAGATTTCTTGGGAGTTGTACATCACGTACACAATACTTCCAAATACATGGAGGTTTGAATAATCATCTGGTTTACCAGTCCACATCTCCATTGGTGTCTTCAGCTCTATTGCAGTTGATGGAGTTCGATTCACAAAATAACAGGCAGTATTAACTGCTTCTGCCCAGAATGATTTTTCTAGGCCTGCATCCCTTAACATTGCTCTTGTTCTTTCTAACAAGGTTCTGTTCATCCGCTCTACCACTCTATTTTGTTGAGGAGTGTTCGCCACTGTGAACTGTCTTTTGATGCCTTCTTTCCTGCAAAAGTCATCAAATTCTTCGCTTGTGTATTCTCCTCCATTATCTGTTCTGAAACACTTGATCTTATTTCCAGAATCAAGTTCTACCCGCGCCTTGAAGTTTTTGAAAGTTAAAAATACGTCTGACTTCTTCTTGATAGGGTACACCCAACATCTCCTGGAGTAGTTGTCAATAAATTAGACAAAGTATTTTGCTCCACCTAGGGATGTAACTGGTGCTTGCCATACGTCAGAGTGAACCAATTCTAGAACACTTTTTCCTCTAGAATTTGATTTGTTGATTTTCAACAGGTTCTGCTTACTTGTTATGCAATGCTCACATAAGGTAAGTGATACCTTTGTTAAGCCTGGAAGTAGCTTTTTCTCCACAAGGACTTTCATTCCTTGTTCTGACATATGTCCAAGTTTCTGATTCCATAGCATTGCCGAATCTGAACTACATGAGGCAACAGAGGCTTCTGCTTCTACCAAAGTCTCTCCCTTCAGCATGTACAAGTTTGCAGCTATCTTTTCACCTTTCAGCACCACAAGCGCTCCACGGAACACCTTTATGATTCCTTTTCGTGTTTCAATCTTGCTTGCATTATTATCCAACAATCCGTAGGATAATAAATTTTTCTTTAGGCCTTTCACGTGCCGCACATCTCGAACAACTTTAATTGTTCCATCATACATCTTCAATTTGATGGTTCCTACGCAAATTATCTCTAAGGCATGATCATTGCAACTATACACAGATCCTCCTAAGACTGGTTCATACTGATGGAACCATTCTCTTCTTGAGGTCATGTGATATGTTGCTCCTAAATCAATGAGCCATATATCTACAAATCTTTTTCTGCCTTCCATGGTGGTTGACGCTTCACAGCATAGAGCATCTCCATCACCTGAAGTGTTTGCGATATTGCCTTGTGGATTGGAGTTTTTATTTAGACTCCAACAATCCTTCTTCAAGTGACCCTTCTTTCCACAGTTGTAGCACTTTAAATTCTTCTTGCTCCTCGACTTCGATCTACCATGTTTGTGACTGCTGCTTTGGCCACGTTTTGTTGATCTCCCTCTCATCGTTGTCAATGCTTCTGCTTGTTGCAGATTTACTTGTCTGTCTTCCTTGTTCTTACGTTGATTTTCTTCTTGGAGAACAGCAGCTGCAACGTCATCGAAGACTAGACTGGTGACATTACTGTTTGTCAAGTTGATGATGAGTTGATCATACGAATCAGGTAGACTTTGAAGTAAAAGTTCAGCATGTTCTTGTTCTCCAATTGTATATCTTAAGGTTGTAAGCTGAGAAAATAATGTGTTCAATGTGTTTCAGTGCTCCGTCACTGAAGTAGATTCTGGCATACGGAGAGTGTACAATTTCCTCTTAAGGAAAATTTTATTGTGCAACGATGTGGCCTCGTACAGTTTGGTGAGATGATCCCATATCTCCTTAGCTGTCTTCTTCTCCTCGATGCTTGACAATACTTTATCTGCTAATGCTAGATGAAAGTTTGCCATTGCATTCCCGTCTATTTCGATCCATTTGTTGTCATATGTGAAATCTACCGGCCTTTCACTGATAGCTGCTAGACAACCGTCTTTCCTCAGGATAACCTTCATCTTCAATTTCCACAATGAGAAATTTCTCCCATTAAATTTTTTAATATCAAATTTCGTTGCTATAGCTTCTTTTACGGATAGCTCCCACTATTTCACTATCATGAATATTTCTCTGGAACCTTCAAAGAATGGGTAATAACTTCTTACTTTCTTATGTTGGAGGATCCACCTTTTGGTGGCAACCACAAAGATAATAAGCAGATATTACACACTCTAATCTGGCTTTGATACCAATTGTTGCGGAAGACAGCTATCGGATAGAGCAAAATCGCAACTGATAATTTGAGAAAATAAAAATGAAGATAAAAAGAGACACAAAATTTACGTGAAAAACCCCTAAATAAAATAGGGTAAAAACCACGGGCAACGGTAGAAGAATTTCACTATGAGAAAATAGGAATTACAACTTCTCTCGATCTACCAAGGAGAAAACAACGATAATTCTCTCTTGATAAAAAGGAGAAAACAACTCTAAAGAAACTCTTTAAATTCTCTCTAGCATTGGAAGAAAGCTAGAAATGTTTTGGGATGAATTTGAAGCTAAATGAGCTAGGGTATTTATAGTTAAAACTTAAGGACTAATTTACAAATACCCTAAATTACAATGACTAAAAATGATTTTACCATTTTTCAAATTTCAACCAATTCTAACTAATTTTCGGTGCCTACCGAAATTGCATATGCAAAGCCACATGTTTCCACCAAAAACAATGTTGAAAGTTTGTTTTGCAATTAATGGCCTTGACTTTTCAATAACCATACGTTTTCATTTTATGCGTATAAAGAAATGGTTCAGGCTAGAATATGAAACTGATATTGCAAAATGCTCTAAGCCCCAAGTTATACAACCAATTTAACATATTTATGGAGAGGATTGTCATACCTGATGCATTACCCAAGCACCTCGTGTCTCTAAAGCCAATAGTAACTGACAAGTATAACATCATCAAAAGCCAGTTAATCTCAAGAATGTAGATCTGAACGTGGATTTTGGACGATGTGTGGACTATTTTGACCTTCTGGAAGCATCCAAGGGAAGAGCACTGTTTGATTATCGAGAACGTTCCAGTTATGATAACTTGGCTTCCCACTACTGCAGCAAGTATAGCTATAACCAAAACTGGCCATCTTAATGCATCCTCATACAAGTTGTCCAACATAAACTTGTCCAATCCTTTGCCCTTTCTATCAAATACCAAATTAAAATAGTATCGATGAGACATACATACATGAACATGTTATGTTACCTATGTATGAACGAACAAACATCGCATCACGTCTGTAATACCATTTTATAAGTGGCAGTGGCATTATCATTCGAGCTTGGAGCAGTGGGAAGTGCCAATTCCCAGCCTGTAGTGCCATTTGCTTGAACAGAAGCAACGAGAGAAACTGTTTGCTCAGCTGGAACATCACCATGAAAACATAAACACAAATTGACATGCAAAAGGTTCAAACTTATTTTATGTGGTTAAAACCAGTAGAAAACCGATTTATTGATGTTTCATGGCGTAAAGTATTGAACTATTGAAGATGAATCAAACTCGCCAACAGGAACAATAGTCAATGCCAAGGAATTCTTCTCATCTAATTTTGATGCAACCGGGTCATGATTGTATAAACCCTGATAAGAAAAAGAAAAACTCATACTGAAACTGCAAAAGTTGCATATGAAACCATAAAAAAAGACTACAACATTACCAACAAATCAGGCGGTTCAACCATAGGCTCTTCCATTTTCTCCGCTTCTTCTGGTTCAGGCAGAGGAGGTGGTGAACATTGCTGTACCTCTGGGGTTTTCTTGCACTCAACGGCCAACACTTCTTTTGGGTTTTCAATCTGCTTGTCATATCAATCTTTTGTAAGATTAACAGAAAGTAGCAAATATCAAAACATGAAAAATATGTCATAAAGATGGTAATAGAATATTATATATGAATAATAGCTCAACTGGCAGAATAATGATGAAAAATGGTTGATCATGATAACTAGGTATCTAAATTAACACAAATTCATCAGCTTGCATATATTACATCTAATTGCATATATGTAAAGGCATAGAAATATATATAAATCATCTTTTAGACCTGATCTTTACGCACAATTGAAGCCTGTGGAGTTTCACTTACCTAATCTTCCATTGCTTGTAGAAAGGATGCAGGGGGCTTCAACATAAATTTCAAATGAAAATTAGTTTCTTCAACTCATGAGAGTTCAAGGCAAAGCGAATCTATCACAGAATGCACCAAAGTTGAAGTTCCCTAACCTGCTCTATCTTAATATGCCAATCGCCACACCTAATATCAAGTTTTTTACATACTTCATAAAATTCTGAAAGCCACTCCACCTGCAAAGACAAAATTAGTTCTAAATCATCTTCATTTACTCTAGAGACAATATTAGCTGAAAATCATATTAGTTCTAACTCGAATTATTATCTTAACAAAGACAAATAACTGATACAACAAAATAATGGCATCAAAATTAATTGTGTTGTAGCTGCTATTTTATCTTTCTTATTTGCCAAATCAGTTGTAAATTTGAAAGAAACTCCACCTCCAGAAATGAGCCCTAGTGGCATTCAATTAAAAAAATTAGTAGAAGAGAGAAAAAAGATGAGAATCCCAAGAACAAACAGATCTTAAAACAAATTTGAGCTACAAACTGAGCTACAAACATGTATGAAATAACCCAGATATTTATGCCAGAATTTATTATAAGTAGAAAACCGTATGGATGTTTACAGATTACACCTGGGAGGCTCAATCACTGATAACCATCGTTTTGCTATCAAAATAATTTCTGGCTTCTTAATAAATAAAAATGAAAAATGTAGTATAGAGAAGCAGGGTCGATCCACAGGGATTGTGGTGTTTCTGATTTAATAAAACTCTTTCTTTATTTTAGAAAAAGATAGAATTCCAGATGAAGTTGAAAAGATATATTAAAAAAAAATAATATAATAATAAATATTAATAGTAATAAATATAAAAGGGGGATTTTTTGAAAAGTTGTGGTTAAAAAGATAAGAATTAAATAAAAGAAAAAAAAATTAAATAAACAAATTAAAGAGATTAAGATAAAGCGAAACTTATTGTGAAAGCAGCCTCAGACTTCAGCTTCGCCTCAAATTCCTCGGATCATCGAAACAAATTTTTACTTCAAGATTCACGTAAGCTTATAAGAACAATTCTTCGCTGCCAACTCAGATTGTGTCATTTCAACAACAACTGATTCCGATCTCAGTTTCCTCTTAGCAAACAATTTTACTAAGTGTGTTCTCGGGAAGTTGAATATGTTTCAATAAGCAAATCCTTCTTCAAACATTAACCATAACAATATCCGGACCAATGTCGAAATAGTTTTGATTTGAAAAGTAAGCTTCAGAAAACAGAGAGAAAATATGAAGCGATTTAAGTACCTTACAATTCTCATGTTTGGAATTGAACCTTCGCTTTAGTCTTTGGCTTGAAAGAAAAATAGCTAAGCATAACCAAAGTCATACTTAGCATAATAGAAAAGTATGCGAAAAATAGAGAGAAAGCTAGAGAGAAAAAGAAGATTTTATTCTCAAATGAGAGAGATATGTTTCTAGGCTCACCCTTAGAGGGTATTTATAGCCTTCAAAATCCTAAAAACAAGCTAAAACATCTTAAATCCTAATTAAAACACTTAAAACTATTTAAACTAAAATACCTAAAAAATAATATAATATTCTAAATCCTAGTTAAAATACTAAAACCTATTTAAACTAAAATACAAAGATAAAATATAAAAA